CTAAAGCATAGAATTGCTGATTCCTTTAAAACAAAAGCCTACCAACCCCACCTCCATAAAACTACACTAAGAACATTAGGGCGAATAGCGAGCAACTCAAGACCAAGGAAATGACAAGGCCTTCAACAGATCTATGTACATGCATCGTACTAAGCATTGATTTAAGCCTTAGCAGGATCAGGACCAAAACAAGGCCTGTCACGCTAGGGTGGTCCCCTGAGAATCCCTTTCAGCCTCAGTCACTCACCACAACAACTCCAGATCACCGTCATCACCTTTTATTGGATTCTTCTAGCAGGCCATAGCCTGTGGCGTTAGTAGTATATATTTATTTACAGTCCATAGCCAGCTTTCCCACTTGCAACTAGGAAAAGGAATCATACTACCAGTATCTAGGCCTGTATCTGCCAGGCTTCCTTCATGTCTGTTCGCATAATCCCAGCTGCTGCAAGGGGGGGGATCTTCCCCCCCAATTAGCCCTTCAGCTGTAGCACTATTCAGTTAATTGAGACCCTCTGTCAACTATCTGGCTTTGAATTAGGTCCTAATTACTATAGCCTGGTGGGTATTAGAGACAGGGTGCTGATTTCCCTCCTGATTTAGCACCCCTGTAGCAAGGACCCAGGCCTGCAGCTGGTCCTATAGGGTCAGGAGCTCATGCAGAGCTAATTGCAGGACAAGGCAGGGCCTATGTTTGCATTAGACCAGAGCAAAAACTTGATGTTTTTGATTTGGGGGCTAAACCAAAATGTCTGAAAAATAAAAAATGAGTTCTGTTCAAACCAAAAGTGGGGTTGGGTTTTTTCCAGTGTTTCTCAGCAAAACAAAACCCATTTGGTTTTGGATCAAACAAAATATTTCATTTGACCCCCAAACAATTTTTTTTTCAGTTTTTTTGTTTAGTTTTGGGACGTTTGGGGATTATTTTTTTTTAACCTTTTAAAAAAATAGCTACATTTCAAAATGAAACAACACTTCTGAAATAAAAGTTGAAACAAAACGTTTCAAAATGGCTGAGATGAATCATTTCAACTGTTTCAAAAAACAAATTCTTCTTTTTCTTTTTCAGCCTAAACTATTGACCGAATTTAATCTGAATTCACGAGTCGTGTCCGTGCCTGTCAAAATGAATATTCTGGCAAATGTACTGTTTCCTGAAAAAATGTCCTCAGCTCTACTTTGCATGTGCAATCTTCCCCTGGCCCATTGTTTGTGTGCATTATGATTTGGGGCCTGATTCTGCACTGAGTGCTCAATGGGTGGACCCCTGTGTCCATGCACAGCCCCACGACTTCAATGGGGCACTGTGTACCTACAGAGTCTGCTCTTCCAGAACTCATTGCAGGATCAGGGCCAAAGCAATACAATACAACACCATTTGTTTCCCTTACAAACTTAAGTGAAACTCTCTAGCATCTTGAAAGATGGGCTACATATGCCAGACAAATACAGCCGTGAAAGTCAAGCACACAGAAGACTGTGCTAATACAACGTGTAACACAGACTAAGTAGAACAACATAGGCCTTAGCTACACAAGGACAGTTTTTGAAAGTGTTCCTACTCTTGTTTGCGGGTGAACCAAAATTAACAATAGTGGACAACTGCGCCAATATTTCCCTAGTATAGCCAAGGCCTCAGGGTAATGGAGAAAATGTGCAGCTAGTCAAAATCCATGTTAGTTATCTGCATACTTAACTGGTTCATCTCCTGCATGGCCACTAAAGAAGGCTGTGCTGCTGGTTGATAAGAGAATGTGTAGTACACAGGTCCTAATCCTGCAGTGAGCTCCACCTGTCAGGACCTTATTGCAAGACCTGGCCAAAATTAAAGAATAAAACAGATTAGAAAAGTGATCAGAGAACAACTGTCTAGAAATCTAGTGTGAAACTCCGTGGCAATAGAATAGGGTAACCCCCAAAGGATGCAAAAATATGTAAAGCTGTTGCTCCTGTATTTAGGGTAGTAGAAAAATCCTGTCTCAGTGCATTATCTAATAGGCCTAAACTTGCAAAAGTGACTGATTTGGGGTGCTCAACCTGAGACACCTGAAGGGGCCCTAAATGCTGAGTAGCTGCCCTCTGAAAATCAGCCCTCTTTCAAACATATCAAATTGGACAACCTGAAGTTGAAGTACCAAAATCATTAGCCAGTTTTGCAAATGCAGGCCACAGTGTGCAATCATGTAATGAAATGAGTCGTTCCTGTACGCAGAGCCCTATTTTGGTGTTGAGTTATTACAGACAATATGAATTATTTCAAGAGCACAGTGAAACCTGCCTCACCAGCTAACCAGTCCCTCTGCCCTAACAGCCTGTAAGAGATTAACTGCATCCTGCCATGTAGCCAATTATATGGCCAAAATAACTGCAATGGCTGTTTTTCCAGTGTTAGACCTACGTGGAGAATGTAGTTGGGTCTACAGAACTCCATTCACCATGGTGTACTTCTGGACAGTGCAAAGTGGGTATATCTGACCACACCAGTTTGGGTTTTCTCTTTAACGTATTTTATTTTCCTATGCGTGCCTGTCACATCCTTCAGCACCCTTTCCCCTCCCAAGGTGTCACTCTGTTAATAAATTGTAATATGTCTGACATATGGCATAGCAGAGGTGTGTACACAATCTGTCTGTTAAGCATAAGGTATTATAAGTGTAATCCTGTCTGCCTGCAGATCTGGGAAAACAGAGCAAGCTGCTGACTGAGAAAGCTGGGAGTTGAACTGCAGACCCACAGAGAGCTATCCTGCTCATGTAAGTCGGCGTAGTTCCACTGAAGTGGCTAAAGAGCTGGCCCGCAGTTTGTGAGCTTGTGAAGAAGTCTGGCTGTCCAAATAGCATCTGGCACAGAGAGGAGATTGTCAGAAAGGATGTTTGTAACAGGGCAGGCTGTTACCATGATCTTGGGTCAGACTGCGCTCTTAGCCACTCGGCTGTATAGCAGGCATAACACTTGAAATCTAGGGAGTTACTGTGGGTTGCTGATGGTGTAACTGAGAGCAGAATCTGGCCCTGTGGCTCTGAACTATATGTGAAGGCCAGATTCTCAGCTTGTGTCAATCAGCATCACTCCAATGAACTCCACCGAAGAAGAAGAAAGGGACTAGGTCTTTTGGAAATCAGGCACTCAGCATGAACAGTGTGTGAATACCAGGGGATAGTGGGCTGAATGAAGTCTGTTGGAGGGCTAGGGAAAATCAGAGTTCAGGGATATGGTTTGGGTGACTATATTTTAAAACAAAATACCCCATTGCCATTCCCTCCTAGGTTCTGTCCACTGGCATATTTTCCACCCTGTTCCCTCATACTACTTTTTTGCTCTTCATCCCACCTCACCTCAAGTCCTACCTTCTTCCTTGCTTCTCCGCTCCAGTCTTCTGCCTCTGGAAAGTCAGCCCTAGCAGGCTGCATCACTGTTTCCACAATGGCTCAACGAGTCTAGTATGATGACTATTACAGGCCCAAGTTTAAGGGTAAGGAATCTGCCACCAAGGGAGGGACTTGGTGGTGTTCTGACTCGGGGGATTTCAGTCTGGTATGATACGTGTAGATACAGCTCGCGCCTACTCCGATTGAGATCAAAGGGAGCTCTGGCATTAGCACCTGTGAAAATCAGGCCGCTTTTATTCCGGAGCCTAAATATCAGAAGCCAGTTGAAATTTGTTCACAGAAATATTTCGGTGACCAAAAAATGGGTCTTCTGATCAAACTGAATGTTTGTCTTAGAAATGCCTTATTTTGATGGAAATTTTCTGGGCTTCTGATGAAAAATGGGAAACTGAAAATGTTAACATATATATAATTTTTTTTTACCAAAAGCAGTTTGCAAAAAGCAAAACATTTTCCATTTCTGGTTGAAGATTTTTGTCAAAATCTTTCAAAATTTCCCAGGAACATTTTTGTTTTCCCCAAAAAAATTTCCTGTGAAAATTATTGGTATTTTTCAACCAGCTCTGCTGCATGCTTATTTAGGTGCTTATCTTTAGCCACCGAAATGCAAAGTAAAGAAGAAAGTAAAGCACAAAGAAGTACAAAGCACATTGTTTTGATGTAGTAGCCTTAATTTTTTTTTTTTTTATTTTTTTTTTACAAAATCATGTTTCTTTGCTGGCTCTCGAATTCACAAAAAGCATCTGTCATTTGCAAAGTCTTAGGTCCTAGTACTGCTGAAATGTGATCTAGTGTGGATCTCTTACATCAGTGCAAAGTACCATTGAATTCAGTTTAACTCCATGCAGTCATAAAGATTCACACCAATACATCTATTTGCAGGATTGGGTCCATAATAGGAAGTAGTGAAGTTTTGCTCTATAGATGTGCTTGGAGAGAAGTGAACTCAACACAGTCCAGGGATAGTACTGGTATAATTTTGAGATCCTTCATTCCAAAGATTAACTGAAAGCTGTAAACCCAAGTTTAGCTCTCCATTGAATTCATGTTATTTCCCCAACTGGTAAACCGCAATAACAACAGGACTTTTTATAAAGGGACAAATCATCTATGAGAGGCATATGTATCTCTTCCTTGCCACACTCCCTCACATACACCTCATCACCTCCAAATCCACCGACCAGCTACATTTTGCACATGTGGGTTCCTGCTCATTTTAGCCACTCTTTGTTGGGCCCAACTGTAAGATTCAAGGAAGCGAGAAAGCAGGTGATGATCTTGTAGCTAAGACCTTGGACAAGGACTCAGGAGATTTGGGTTTTGTTCCTGGCTCTGATACTAATGTCCTGTGCGAACTTGAACAAGTCCAATCCCATAGCTGTGCCTCAGTTTCCCCACCTGTCAAATAGGGATGATGTGAGGATGAATTCATTAATGTTTTGAGGTGGTAGATATTATGGTAATGGATGGAGCCATGTTCAGACGTAGATGAGACTTCACAAAGGATTGTAGTAATCACTGGCCACAGAGCAGGAGTGTAATATTTTTGATCATTCATTCATAAAACCACCATTTAATGAAAGATCTTCAAATAAGGACCAGGCCACAGGCTAATTCATAGCTGTTTATTGTAAATTATTCAAGAGTTTACATGTCATTAATGGCAAATTAACACTGTTAAACACCTGCTGGATGAAGTACAGAATAAGGACAATTATTTTATATTGGCATCATTTAAAAAAACAAAACTAAAGAAAACTGAAACAAACCCAAAAGAACTGAGTTTGGTTTGAAAATTGTACATCTTTCCTGAAAATAACTTGGCCTGATTCTCATTTATACTAAGACCATCCCTCCCTCCTCCCTTTGCAGTGTAAATGGGCGTGAAAGTGGGCACATGCACGCTGCCAGAAAAGGGCAAAGGGAATCTTAGGCCTGGGCTACACTAGAAAATTAGACCGGTTTAACTATGTTGGTCAGGGGTGTGAAAAATCCACACACCCCAGAACATAGTTAAGCTGACCTAAGCCCCTGTGTAGACAACGCTAGGTTGATAGAAGAATTCTTCCATCGAGCTAGTTAGTGCCTCTCGGGGAGGTGGAGTACCTAACCCCTCCCATCAGCATAGGCCGTGAAGCGGTGCAGCTGTAGCATTTTAAGTGTAGACAAACCCTGTAAATGAGAATCAGGCCCTCTGTCTTCAAAAGTGCTCCAGTGCAGACAATATAAAGCCTTTCTCCTGCACTGGCTACCATCTAATACAAAGGGCTGTAGGTCCCATTAAATCGGACATTACAAGGCAACTGTTAAATCCAGAAGCTACATAACTTTTTTAATATATATTTTGCTCTGAAACCAATAGAGGCTGCATGCAGTTGTAACATAAGGAAAAACTGTGATCTAGATAAAGGCCAGGTTTTAAAGACCTGATAGTGAAAGCTGGGAAAAAAATTAAGACACCTATTGTGCAGAAGTAGCTAAAATATGCATGCAGCTGTGGTTGTGACCTGTTAGAATATAAATTAGGTCTCCAAACATTTAAATCGAAGCTTTTTTTTGGTTTAAGACATAGTTGAGCAGTATATCATTACGAGTTACAATGTTTATGTGACAATGAACGAATCAGCTAAGCATGGCATCAGTTTGTATTTTGGCTTGTATAGTGTGTAGCTTTTAACACAAAAGCCTGCTTAGCAATAAATGAATTTCATATAAACAAAGACAGTGGAGCAAGGGTCTTGCAACCAGGATAAAGAAAAATAAGGAAACAGATTTTCAGACAAACATCTTTTTTAAAACTGATTTTCCCCAGTACAGGGGATTTTTTAAACATTCTTTTCTGTTTGTTTTTGCAACAGCATATCAGGCCCTATCTGCAACCCCCCTCGCCTCCCCCCCCCCAAAAATTATGTCTCAAAGTATGTTTGGTCGACTAGTAAAAACAAAACAAACATTCACCTGGACCGCACTTTGAAAGGATAGTTAACTCCTCCATCTTGCCAGGGTTAACACGAACAAGCATATTACAGTGTACACTGGACTTAAACTAGAATGACTAAAATCAAAGATCTAGGATGTTTAACACTAATATTAAATAATATCCAATATTTTTACACTTAATAGTCTGGGATTTGGACATAAAACAGCTAATACGAAAAGAATTGGGACGAAATTCACCCCTGACATAAAGCCACTAAAGTAAACGGAGTTATCCCAGGGATTAATTTAGCCCATTTTATCTGAAAAAACTATTTTTCCCAAAGAAAAAATGCACACACACACACACACATACAGACACACACGACAGCATCGATTTACACAGAAATGTTACATTTTCAAGCACTGCCATCACCAGTCCTCTCTTTGCGGGCTAAGATCATCTCCTTGGGAGCCTGTTTTCGGTCAGTAACCAACCCCAACCAAAACATGAAGTCAATGAACCATGTGGTTGGGTTGAATTTCAAGCCAAGCTCGCTGGCTGAATAATCAAATGGAAAGGTGTGATGGTAATTGTGGAAGCCTTCACCTGGAAAAGCAAAAAGAGAGATTTTAAGTGCAGTGGCCAACATACGTCTTGTGATTAGATAGATTAGGGAGATAGATAGAAGATACCCGATCCTGTAACATGTTCTACCCTGGTGCAACCCCACCAGGTGCATCATTGATTTAAAATGCAGAGCGAAAAAGTTGCAGGATCGTGGCCTCATCTATCTATCTCTGGCTTCCCTTTTTGAAAAAGTTGCACCGGTTTCACAAATATTGGGTTTTACATTGATTTAGTTAAACTGGGCAAACTGCGGTGTGGATACTCATCTCAATTTACAGTTGGTTTACATCAGGGGCGGGCAACCTTTTTGGCCCGACGGCCACATCGGGCTGCGAAATTGTATGGAGGGCCAGGTAGGGAAGGCTGTGCCCCCCAAAACAGCCTGGCCCCCGCCCCCTATCCACCCCCTCCCACTTCCCGCCCTCCTCAGAACACCCGACCCATCCAACCCCCCTTGCTCCTTGTCCCCTGACCGCTCCCTCCCAGGACCCCCCCGCCCCAAACAGCCCCCGCCCCCCCGGGATCCCACCCGCTATCCAACCCCCCCCGCTCCCTGTCCCCTGACTGCCCCCCGACCCCTATCCACCCCCCCATCCACCAACAGGCCCCCCGGGACTCCCACACCCTATCCAACCTCCCCTGTTCCCCGACCACCCTGCCCCAGAACCTCCGCCCCATCCAACCGCTCCCTGTCCCCTGACTGCCCCCTGGGACTCCCTACCCAACCCCTGCACCGCCACGAGCATGCCACCGCCACCCCCTTACCATGCCACTCAGAGCGGCAGGGGCCTGCAGTGCTGGTGCCCGTGCGGCAGCATGGCTGCGGGGGAGGGGGAACAGCAGAGGAGGGGCCAGGGGCTAGCCTCCCCGGCCAGGAGCTCAGGGACCAGGCTGGATGTGGCCCATGGACGATAGTTTGCCCACCTCTGGTTTACATTGATGTAGCTTAATTCAGTTCACAGGAAGCAACATCTTTATCTATACAAGGTTTCTGTAGCAAACTTGGTCATCACATCAATAAAATGCATTGTGGTTTTGCTTTCCCCATTGAGAAGGGGCAGCAAAGACATTTGACAAACAATCCCCTATTGCTAAACCACATGATGGAAAACAAGAAGGGCCTTGGGTGCCTACTTCACACAAGGTCTGAGTAGAGAGGAAGAGGCAATTAACCCTGAGACAGGCTGCACAGGGAGGCTGGAGAAGAAGAGTCAGGGCTGAATGTTTTTAATGAAGTAAATACTAATGGAAACTGCGTGATCATGGGAGATTTTAACTTCCCAGGTATAGACTGGAGGACGAGTGCTAGTAATAATAATAGGGCTCAGATTTTTCTACATGCGATAGCTGATGGATTCCTTCATCAAGTAGTTGCTGAACCGACTAGAGGGGATGCCATTTTAGATTTGGTTTTGGTGAGTAGTGAGGACCTCATAGAAGAAATGGTTGTAGGGGACAACCTTGGTTCAAGTGATCATGAGCTAATTCAGTTCAAACTGAACGGAAGGATTAACAAAAATAAATCTGCAACTAGGGTTTTTGATTTCAAAAGCGCTGACTTTCAAAAATTAAGGAAATTAGTTAGGTAAGTGGATTGGATTGGAAGAACTTATGGATCCAAAGGCAGAGGAGGCCTGGGATTACTTTAAATGAAAGCTGCAGAAGCTATCGGAAGCCTGCATCCCAAGAAAGGGGAAAAAATTTATAGGCAGGAGTTGTAGACCAATCTGGGTGAGCAAGCATCTCAGAGAGTTGATTAAGAAAAAGCAGAACGCATACAGGGAGTGGAAGATGGGAGGGATCAGCAAGGAAAGCTACCTTATTGAGGTCAGAACATGCAGGGATAAAGTGAGACAGGCTAAAAGTCAAGTAGAGTTGGACCTTGCAAAGGGAATTAAAACCAATAGTAAAAGGTTCTACAGCCATATAAATCAGAAGAAAACAAAGAAGAAGAAGTGGGACCGCTAAACACTAAGGATGGAGTGGAGGTCAAAGATAATCTAGGCATGGCCCAATATCTAAACAAATACTTTGCCTCAGTCTTTAATAAGGCTAAAGAGGATCTTAGGGATAATGGTAGCATGACAAATGGGAATGAGGATATGGAGGTAGATATTACCACAGCTGAGGTAGAAGCCAGACTTGAACAGCTTAATGGGACTAAATCAGGGGGCCCAGATAATCTTCATCTAAGAATATTAAAGGAATTGGCACATGAAATTGCAAGCCCATTAGCAAGAATTTTTAATGAATCTGTAAACTCAGGGGTTGTACTGTATGATTGGAGAATTGCTAACATAGTTCCTATTTTTAAGAAAGGGAAAAAAAAAGTGACCCGGGTAACTACAGGCCTGTTAGTTTAACATCTGTAGTATGCAAGGTCTTGGAAAAAATTTTGAAGTAGTTAAGGACATTGAGGTCAATGATAAATGGAACAAAATACAACATGGTTTTACAAAAGGTAGATCGTGCCAAACCAACCCGATCTCCTTCTTTGAGAAAGTAACAGGTTTTTTAGACAAAGGAAATGCAGTGGATCTAATTTACCTAGATTTCAGTAAGGTGTTTGATACCGTGCCACATGGGGAATTATTAGTTAAATTGGAAAAGATGGGGATCAATATGAAAACTGAAAGGTGGATAAGGAAATGGTGAACAGGGAGACTACAGCAGGTCCCACTGAAAGGTGAACTGTCAGGCTAGAGGGAGGTTACCAGTGGAGTTCCTCAGGGATCAGTTTTGGGACCAATCTTATTTAATCTTTTTATTTCTGACCTTGGCACAAAAAGTGGGAGTGTGCTAATAAAGTTTGCGGATGATACAAAGCTGGGAGGTATTGCTAATTTAGAGAGAGACTGGGATATCATACAGGAAGATTTGGATGACCTTGTAAACTGGAGTAATAGTAACAGGATGAAATTTAATAGTGAGAAGTGTAAGGTTATGCATTTAGGGATTAATAACAAGAATTTCAGTTATAAGCTGGGGACGCATCAATTAGAAGTAACGGAGGAGGACAAGGACCTTGGAGTATTGGTTGATCATAGGTTGACTATGAGCCACCAATGTGATATGGCCATGAAAAAAGCTAATGCAGTCCTGGGATGCATCAGGCAAGGTATTGTGTTACCTAGGGAGGTGGTCGAATCTCCTTCCCTAGAAGTTTTTAAGGTCAGGCTTGACAAAGCCCTGGCTGGGATGATTTAGTCGGGGATCGGTCCTGCTTTGAGCAGGGGGTTGGACTAGATGACCTCCTGAGGTCCCTTCCAACCCTGATATTCTATGATTCTATTTCCAGTAGAGATAATACCGTTAGTACCGTTATACAAGGCACTGTTGAGATCTCATCTGTAATACTGTGTGCAGTTCTGGTCTCCCATGTTTAAGAAGGATGAATTCAAACTGGAACAGGTACAGAGAAGGGCTACTGGGATGATCTGAGGAATGGAAAACCTGTCTTATGAAAGGAGACTCAAGGAGCTTGGCTTGTTTAGCCTAACTAAAAGAAGGTTGAGGGGAGATATGATTGCTCTCTATAAATATATCAGAGGGATAAATACTGGAGAGGCAGAGGAATTATTTAAGCTCAGTACCAACGTGGACACAAGAACAAATGGATAGAAACTGGTCATTAGGAAGTTTTGACTGGAAATTAGACGAAGGTTTCTAACCATCAGAGGAGTGAACTTTTGGAATAGCCTTCCAAGGGAAGCAGTGGGGGCAAAAGACCTATCTGGCTTTAAGATTAAACTCGATAAGTTTATGGAGGAGAAGGTATGATGGGATAACATGATTTGGGCAATTAATTAATCTTTAAATATTCATGGTGAATAGGCCCAATGGCCTGTGATGGGATATGAGATGGGGTGGGATCTGAGTTACTACAGAGAATTCTTTCCTGGGTATCTGGCTGGTGAATCTTGCCCATATGCTCAGGGTTCAGCTGATCGCCATATTTGGGGTCAGGAAGGAATTTTCCTCCAGGGCAGATTGGAAGAGGCCCTGGAGGTTTTTTGCCTTCCTCTGTAGCATAGGGCACGGGTCACTTTCTGGAGGATTCTCTGCTCCTTGAAGTCTTTAAACCACGATTCGAGGACTTCAATAGCTCAGGCATAGGTGAGAGGTTTTTCGCAGGAGTGTGTGGGTGAGATTCTGTGGCCTGCATTGTGCAGGAGGTCAGACAAGATGATCCTAATGGTCCCTTCTGACCTTAATATCTATGAATCTATGAAACTTTTAGTTGATGATGAAGCCCAGCTGAGCAAGAGGCAGGCTAAACTGCTCTAAATCCAGGAATTAGAGAATAAGAAGGGGGCTGCAGTAACTTTCTGGGCTTAGAGAGGGAAAGGAACAAATGGGAGGGGGGATTAGAAGCCCTGGGAAGGGAGTACCCAGATGAGGGTAGAGAAGGAGCTGGAAAGAGGTGAAGTAGGAAGCAGCTAAGGGAAACAGCAGCAAGGTCTGGGACAGTGCAGACCTTGCCCACTGGTTGTAGAAGTCCCTGGGCTGGAACCCAGAGTAGGGGGCAGGCCTGGGTTCCCCTACCAGCCACTGGGGAAGTGGCACAGACTGGGCAGTGGAGCAGAAGACTGCTTGAGTCAGTTTGTCCAGTAGGACTTTGAGACCCCGGAAGGGAAAGACTACAGTGACCTGGCCAGAGGACCAAGCCATGAAGAGAGAGCACCCTGAGGGATGGAGGGGCAGTAACCTGACTCCAGAGAGAGAGAAGAGAATGAGACAATGGGGTGAGAAACTGAAGGAGGGGGGCGTCAGATTGGTCATGAGCTAATCCCCAGCTGTGGCCACAGGGAGGTGCCCCCCGTGACAGGAGTGATCCAACGTGATTTTACAAGGACACCCCTGGATGAGAACTATGGAAGAAGTTCCCTTTCGGCCCTATCACAAAATTGGCCTATTCCAAGGCTGTCAGAAATGAACCAGAAGGCCCCACTGTTGAAAACAGCTTGACTGCTAGTGTAGGCAAAACAAATCTCTTTTCAGCTCAACCGAGACTTGAGGCTCAACCATGCCTCTATCGCAAGGCGGCGCAAGGTTTTTTGTCTCACACACGCTATAAGCTAAACTGGTTTCAGTATTGGTTCCAGTCTCCCATTCCTGACAAGCTTTGGCAGCATCCAGCCCAGCTATTAGACAGGACATGCTGCCATCAGCCAGAGCCCCACACATGTATCTGAAGCAGAGCATTGAGGGTTGGACTAGGTGACCTTCTGAGGTCTCTTCCAACCCTACTCTTCTATCATTCTGTGAACCCAAAAGAATAAGTTTAGCATTCTGAGGACAATAGCTCAGGTTCCCCATCAAACAGCTCGCTGCTGAACAGATGTTTCAGTTAAGGTAACAGAGAGAAGCGTAGCAGTTCTTTCCTAACAGGGCTTGAGTCATATGCTGGTAGAATTCTTAAGACAGTTATAAGAGAGAGGGTTAAAAACTATGCAGCAGCAGGGAGCCGAGAAAACCTGCAGTGGGAGAGAGTGGAGGAATCAGGCAGAGGTGAGAGCAGAGATAAGCTCCCTGACTTCCTTTCTATTACAGAAAACACTGAACATCCCCTGTGGCAGCTAATAACCCTTCCTATTCATTTCATTGCAGCACTTGTTCAAGGGGAATGTGCCCAGACCCTAACATTTGCATTCAAGGGTGTCTGACATTCATGCAGTATTTACGTGTGGCAACAGCGCGATTGACTGTCAAAATAGCCACTATACTAGTCTATTCAAATAATAAGGGAAGAGGGTAATCATATGGTATGAGGCTTCAATTAATGCTGGGTTAGCCCCAGGAAGTGGGAAATATCTGTTTTTATTGGTTAGAGTAGCAGGCCAGAGCTTTGGTTTTGGGACACAGAGGTGTGCCGTCCAGTAGGCAAAATTATTGTGATTAAAAGGGGAGGAGGAGGAGATAGACTATCACAAGCTCAGAAGCACGGATAGTGGGAAGAGCAGAAGTCAGGTTCAGTTATGTATGATGAATACAGAAGCTAAGATGGTCCGAAGTAGGTACTTCATAGGAGCCTAAATCTATACTTAGCATCTAAGGGTGGAATCTGTAACAACTTCCCAACCCGAGCAACCTCTACATCTCCACCTATTACTGTTCTAATTAGGAAGAACTGTCCAAGGAAACGGAAAAAAGAAACCCAATTTCAGACATTTAATGCCTACACACTGTACAAGACCCCTACTGAGGCAGGGACCAGAAGCAGGCAATACAAACTAAAGCTGATGATGAACAATGCAAGGTTTTCCGCTAACAAACAACAAACAATATACAACCTCATCAGTGACAAAGCACCCAATATAGTCTGCATCCCCAAGACCTGACTGGATTCAGCAAGCCCTGTGCTCGCGCACCTCATTCCCTCAGGATACCAGGTACGTCACAGACCTAGACAGAACAAGGCGGCAGACAGCCCTGCATTCATCTTCTCGGTAAACATCCAACGCAAGAGATATGCCTCATGTAAGACAACTTCATTTGAATTGATGCACCTGGCAGTCGAAACCAGACCCAAAGCTAACATAGGTTTTATGCTCATTTACAAACCACCACAGATTAAATGATTCACAAAGGAGCTCACCGACCCCTTGTCAGTGATGGTGGTGAAATGCTGCTGACTTGTCATCCTGGGAGATTTCAACACACACATTCGACTAGGCCACAGATGCCAAAGCCCCCTAACTCATCTCCTCACTTGCCACCCTAGGACTTGAACTGCTCACCCCTGATCCAACCCATGCGCTGGTCACACCTTGGACCTATTTTTTGGCCTAGATGTCAAAATGGAGAACATCACAACACACCACTGTCTTAGACAGATGATCACTTCATGAAGGCAGTGGTCAGAGACCTTCCAGCACCCAGGCAACAAGAAGGTCCAATGATCCTGATTCAACCACGAAGACTCATGGACTCCAACCAGTTCCAAAGCCTGACAAAGGACAATAGCACTCCATCCACAGGACGAGGGGTTGAGAACCTTGTTACCTTTCTACAGTCAGCCACTGACACACTGGCCCCCACACAGCCCTTTCCTTCACACTGCTCACACTGATCTCCGTGGCTACTGACGCCTTGTGCTGGGTGAAGAGAGAGGGATGGAAATTTGAGCACCAATAGAAGAAAACAAAGGCTGATTTGGAGAGGATGAAACATAAATTCCTCAAAGCCTAGGCCGAGGCTATATTACAAGCCAAGAGACTCTTCCTATCAGCTTCCATTGTGGCTGCCAAATCCCTCTCCAAGCAGTTATCCAGGATGGTAAACAGCTTCATTAATCCTGAATGAAGACAACCTGCTGTGGAGCAGAGCACCAAGTGCTGTGAAGATCTATCGTCCTACTTCACTGAAAACATCACGCAGTGTTAGGAAGCCTGCTCAAACAGCTGGAATCCACTCCACCTCCACTCACCAACCAAACAGCCCACCTGCATTCCCAGAGTTCATTCATCAAGAAGTTCTTGACACCTTAAAGGAGTCTCAGCCCAAGAACTGTGAATCCAGCCCATGCCCTTCTTGACTTGTGAAAGAGTCTTGAACAACTGGTGCCACTCCTGACTGAAATGATCAATGCCTCATTCACAGAAGGAAACTTCCCTTCCTCCTTCAAACACACACTAGCCTGACCATTGCTGAAGTAACCCACCCTAAATGCTTCGGTCCTAGCCATCTACCATCCACTGTCAGACCTCTCATTCCAAGCTCATAGACAAGCAAGCAAAAGGTGAACTACAAGCTCATGTAACTGAAGCCAACATGACCTAGACCATCTCATTCTGGATTCAGGCCAGGACAAAACCAAAACTGCCCTAGTGGCACCGTTGGACGATCTCCTCCTGCCAGCGGATAGAGGAGAGACATCCATTCTCATCCTTCTGGATCTCTTGGCAGCATTCCACAATGTTGACTGAGATTCTGTTGTCTCACCTGAGAGAGATGGCAGGGATCCAGGGTAACATGCTAAAATGTCTTAAGCCCTTCCTGGAGGGGTGCATCCAACAAGTAGTGCAGGGAAACTCCACCTCTACTACCAGACTACTCATGTGTGGAGTTCCACAAGGATCAGTTCTCTCTCCAGTCCTTTTCAACATCTACATGCAATCATATTCACACATGACCACTGCACTACACCAAGAGGGCCTAGTGCTTGGATAAGATCAGCTCATGGGTGAAGAACAGCTAGCTGAAGCTGACCTCGAGCAAGACAGAGGTGATGCAAGTGGGCAGAGGAAAGTATCTTGAAGAGCTTGCAGCTATGGTGCAGTCTTCATTGGTTGAAGATAAACTCCCACAATTGGTCAGCTAGGTCCGTGGTCTAGGAGTACTCTTGGGTTCCTTGGAGACACTGAACTCTCAACTAGCAGCATCCATGAGTAACTCTTTTTACCATCTCTCCTTGGCTAGGAAACTCTGTCCCATGTTGGCAGATGAAGACCTGCACTCAGTTATTTATGCCTTCATCCTCTCTTGGCTGGATTACAGCAATGCAATATACCTGGGCATGAAGCCTTCAGCACTTAGGAAACTCCAGCTAGTTCAGAACACTGTAGCACATCTCCTCAGCAACACGGACTACAAAACCATGAACATATCAAACCTGTCCTCCACTCTCTATGCTGTCTTCCCAGAGATTTGCAAATTAAGTTCAAGGTCTCAGGCCCAGGGTATCTAAAGTTCTGGGATGAAGACTGTGGTCAACAACTACGCTCCTTTGGCACCACGGAACTCTCAACAATAAGGTTAAAGCTCATCGGTGCAGGAGACGCAACTTTCTCTGGGGGCCAGTCCAAGCCGATGGAATGAACTCCCGCAAGGAACTAGGGGCCGTAGCAAACCTCGTTTTCCTCTCCAAATGCAAGGCACATTTCTCTGGCCTTGTCTTCTCTAATATAAAAAAAACATAGCAACAGGGATATAAAATGCACCCTACCAAAACAAGACACTGCACTGCACAACACTTCTCCCTCTGGGGAGAGGATGAGAGGACAAACAATATATGCCAGATGTGTAGTGATGTTGCTTAATGCATGACTGAAAGGCGCTCAGATACGATGGTGATGAGCATGGTTTAAGAACCACCTGGAATACAATAGGCTTCCATAGAAACAAAGTTAGGCTTTTGAAAATCCCACCCCAAATACATGGTCTGATTTTCAAAAGTGCAGCATACCCAACAGCTCCCACTGGGATGGCCAGATGTTCCTGGGTGCTCAGCATTTCTTGAAATCAGCCCAATTACTTAGGCACCTACATATATGAACTAGGGGAGATTTTCATAGGCACAAAGGGCAGTTAAACACCTTACTCCCATAAGTGCTGGGAGCCTAACTGCCCTTTGTGCCTTTAAGAATCTTCTCTGTAAGCACCTAAGTTGAGGCACACATTTTTGAAAATCTTGGCCAGAAGCAGTGGCTTTATATAGTGGCCACAACGGTTTTGGGGCTTTGCTGCTTGTAAGCTTTGGCTGAATTTCATCCCACTTCTCCCTCCGAGACTGTAATAATTGTTTCATAACTGAGTGCCATGGGAGTGCCTGGCCTGCTGGAGACATGGATTTAGTTGAGCGGCCCTTGTGAGAGAAGAGAGACAGGGCTCAGGTCAGTGTAATAAAACACACAAGGAATCTTTACTTAGGATGCTAGACGCTCATGGCCTGCTGTCTGGCTCACACACTGTGCTGTACAGGATTACTGCAGAGAGACTGCCTAAATCCTGGCCAGGATTAAGCACTCAAGGAATGGATTGCTGACTATCCTATGTGCATGATTCTAGTGGCTGCTCTGTTTGCAGTGAAAGGAAATCCCATTGCTAGCTAGAGCTTGGCAAAGTGCAAAGTAACCCAAGTTAAAGCTTCAGAGAGACATTTTGCCTGGTACTCACCAATGGCTCCTAAAGTGACAAATGCATTCTGCCGGGGGCTGATGTACTTGTCATAGGGTCGATTGCCGTACATGTGAGCTGCGCTGTTGACCAGCCAGGTGACGTTGAGTGAGACGGTGTAACGAAGGATGGAAGCAAGGAAGTAGGAATTCCACAGACTCTCCTCCCAGATGTACCAGGGCACCAGGGTGGGGATCACAAAGCACATTAGCACTACTGAACTCTTATAGTACCTATAAGGAGAAAAAGGGACAGGAATAACAGCATTACTGTGACCAGAGCGGGAGCTACATGGTTACTGAACTGGACTAGGATTTAGGATACTTGGGTTCAATTTCTGTCTCTGCGACAGACTCCCTGTGTGGCTTGGGGCAGGTCACTTCATCTCTCTGTGTCTGGATTCCTCATCTGTAAAATGCGAATAATAGAACTTTGTTTGACCGAGTAGTCTATTTAGATGATAAGCTTTTTGGGGCAGGGGCTGACTCTTGCTATGTGTATATACAATGGCTAGCACGATGGGACCCTGAGCTCATTCAAGGTCTCTAAGTGCTACTGTAATACAAAATAATAATAACATTATTATATGAAAAATATATTTTAAAAGAAAATCGGTCATGCAGTTCCTGTAATTCCTCCTTTCCTCTAAGCCTTGCACAGAGCTATTTACTGGGAGATTTATTTTCTTGAATAGAGAAGAACATCTGTATATTTCACAGGCTATTGGGCAGTTTACTCACTTGGTGCTGACCCAGGAGTTTTTACTCATTTCTGATAGTCATATGTGCTCGTGCTGCCTAGTGGACAGAGCACGGGAGTAGCATTAAGGAGCTCTTGGTTTAGTCCCAGCTTTGCCACTGGCTTTCTGCATGACCTTGGGTAAGTCACTTCCCCACTCTGTGCCTCAGTTTCCCCATGTGTAAAAGTGGAGATAAGAGAATCTATGGATAAGGAGCGTTATATAAAAGACAGGTATCATCATTATTATGCCAAAGAAAGTTCACTGGAACAGAACTGCAGCAGATGAGGAGCTCTGCAGATTACCAACTCACTCCAGCAGGGGAAAAATAGTCTAAAATCGAGCTGGTTTTCCAAACTGAAACAAATAGCATCACAGCAGATATTAGCTGCATTCAGCCATTTGGACCTTAATTTGTTTTTGCACAAAAAAATGGTGCTGACATGGCAGCATTAACTAAAGTAAATGCAATCTGCCCTCCATTTTACCTTTCAGTGCAGAGTTCTGCTTTATTAACACAGAGGACATTTTCAAACCATTATTCGGAATACTCAGAAACAGTTGCCAGCAACAATCATGCATTAGGAAGGTAAACAATTTTTCATTCTTAAAAGCTTGTTTCCTCCCTCCCTTGCTCCCCGCCTTTGTGGTTATGTTTCCAACAGCCCGCTCGAAAGAAAAGTGTGAAGATTAATTACTCATGAGCGGTAAGGCCAAAACACTGCTTGTTAAATGTCAGGAGCTTTTCTGTTCCTCCACTAGAATGTTAGTAGTGGAGTGTTTGGTCGTTTTGTTTCAGATCTCTCCTTGCCTATTTGTCAGCTGCTGTCAATAGGCTACATGGAAGATGTGTCAGCTTTTAATGGGAAGTTGCACAGGCTGACTAAAAGAGGAATAATTAAAAGACTTTGCTGAAGGGAAAAAAATTACCATAAAATTGCAGCTGTTTTCTGTCAGAGTGAAAATTGCATTCAACATTAATCTGTCTATGGGGAAAAGACAGGTAACATCAGCTAGGCCGGGGGAAGGCTGAACACAGCAGGGGAAGCTCCAGATATGCATAACTCGCTTGTTTTGTGTTTCAAGGGGAAAAGGACTAGTGATTCAAGGTTCTATGACAGTCAGAGTATTTAAAGCCATAAATTACAATTGATCAAAACACTGGAGATCAAACTGTACAGTGCAAATCCTCTGTCTGAACACCCCGGAACTTTGGGAAAGTTCCACTTTGGCTGCAAACTTTGCAACTGGGGCCTGACTCTATGCAATGCACCAAAGACCATTTGCCCTGTGTCCCAATACAGCAATTAAGGTATATCAGCTGGGCTGGACTGTCCAACTATGTTTGTGTCAAATGCACCATTGTCCTACAGCTAGCGAAGATTCTTCTTGAGCCCCATCCATAGGAAACGCTGCTTTTGGAACAGGGATATTGGCGTTCTCTCCCCACTGCTGCATGAAGCACCAAACGACTGCAGCGGCAGAGTGAAGACAGCCATGAAAAAAGGTCCAAAGAGGCTACAGGTCTGTTACAATACATATGAAAGTTCTGTCTAGGCATATTGAGCCATGATTAATTTCCCTAGCAAATCACAACTTGCACTGGCAGCGGTCCTATGCCCTTAGGTCTGCCAATCACTTGAGATTAGCAATAGGATGGACTGAGAACTTTGATGCTAAGGAATTAGCAGAGATTCAATGAGAGGAGAATTATCATGCAGGTTCATGTCTGTCGATATTTTGATATTGAAGCACACTGAGCATGTTGGCCACTGGCACGGTTTTTATTTTCACTTTCACCACTCAGATTGCAAAGGCACAAACTCCTCCATAAAGGAAGAAGAAAATTAGAGGATATGCTCTAGCTCAAGCAGAAGTGAAGGGCAAGAATTATTGGGAGAGGTTCTATGGTCTATGTTACAGATCAGACCAGACCCTAATGGTTCCTTCTTTCTTCAAAATCTATGACTGAAAATTCTGTCATTTAAGTGGGTAACACAGATGTAACTGCAAGAAGATTTTAGCCTTTTAAAAATCTTCTGGTATCTAGGCTGATTTGATTGGGCACCAAGTCCCCATCACGTCACAAACCTCACTGGGCCTGAATTTGCCTACCTGGCTATACAAGCAGGGCCTTAGCCAGCACCCACTCAAGTCAATGGGAGGCCTTCCATTGACTTCAATGGGCAAAGTATCATCATCAAAATCTTTTACTTGATTTGTGGTAGCACTTAGGGTCCCCAGTCACAGACCACAACTCCACTGTGCTAGGCCTTGTACAAACACAGACCAAAAAGACAATCCATGCCCTGATAAACTTACAATCTAAGCCATGTCTGTGGTCCGCCCACTTCTTTATTTTTAATTATTTGTATTCTCACATAATACAAAAATAGAGGAGGGATTTTCCTCAAACTTTCCAGTGAAAATCACCCCTTTGCTGAGGCTGCATAGAAGATTTCAGTCCCCACCCCGGGGCATTTTGGAGACAGTTATAGGCACATGTAAAGAAGAGATTATAAAACAGAGGCAGATACAGACCAGGTGTCTGAAGGTGAAACTCCAATGAAGGCCAGGGGTTCGCACCCGTTTACTTTCAATCAAGCCCCCAAATCTATAAGCAGCTGTAACTCTGACCGATCTATTTCTTCCTCAGAATTTCATGAGGAAAAGTAGTTTTCAAAGCCCTGAAATGTGACAACTTGCTCCGACAGTTCAGCCAAGTTTGTACAAGACACACACACAAAGGCGTGGAGGAAACAAAGCTGAATAGTGCAAGAGGCAAAAAAGAAAGGGAGAGCAGGCTGATAAGTGAAGCAGAATGCTAAACTAAGCCAGGAGGGAGGCAAAAAGGTGTGTGTATGAAAGAGAGAAAAGAGTAGGGTTGCCAACTTTCTAATTGCCGAAAACCAAACATCCTTGCCCTGCCCCTTCTCCCAAGACTCCATCCCTGCCCTGCCCCTTCTCCGAGGCGCCGCCATCACTCACTCCATCCCCTCTCCCTCCATTGCTTGCTCTCCCCTACTCTTGCTCAGTCACTCATTTTCACCAGGCTGGGGCAGGGGTTGGGGTGCAGAAGTGGGTGAGGGCTCCAGCTAGGAATGGGGGCTCTAGTATGTGTCTGGGGATGGGGGGTTTGGGATGCAGTAGGGGGCTCCAGGCTGGGGGGTGGGGCTGAGGGGTTCAGAGTGTGGGAGGGGCTCAGGGCTGGGGCAGGGGGTTAGAGTGTGGGACGCGGTGCGGGCTATGGGAGGGAGTTTGTGTGTGGGAGGGGGTTCCGGGCTGGGTCAGCGGGTTGGGGTGCGGGAGGGGGTTCCGAGCTAGAGCACGGGGTTGGGGAGCGGGAGGGGGTGAGGGATACAGACTCCAGGCAGTGCTTACCTCAGGCAGCTCCCAGAAGCAGCCACCATGTCCAGCTCCAAGGCGGAGGCGCGGCCATGGGGTCTCCATGTGCTGCCCCCGTCCTCAGGTGCTGCCCTTGCAGCTCCCATTGGCCATGGTTCCTGGCCAGTGGGAACTGCGGAGCCGGCACCTGGGGCAGGGGCAGCATGCGGAGCCCCCGTGGCTACCCCCCAGCTGGAGGGACATGTCGCCACGGATCCGGGTAGGGATGCGCCACCGACCAGACATTTAACGGCCTGGTCGGCAATGCTGACCATATCCACCAGGGTCCCTTTTCAACCAGGTGTTCCAGTCAAAAACCGGATGCCCGGCAACCCTAGAAAGGAGGAGTGAATGGCAGAAAGAGTATAATGTGACAAAGGAGCTGGCAAGCCATGTGGAATGATTCAACAGAGAGAGGAGCAGCAAAGAGGCACAAGAGGTGAGGAGAGAGACAGACAGAAGATAATGAGCCATAAGATGGAGAACAGGCCAAGAAGAGCTGAATAGTCTGAAGACAAAACAAAATGAGGGGCTGGCAAGAGAATTTAAAGGTGCCACAGGCAAGCCTGCTTAGCAGGGTAATGCGCGGTGTCCCACAAGGGCTCAGCACTGGAGAATGAGAGGCAATTTATCCTTAGACAGACAGGCAAAGGGAGTCCAGGCTCAGCATCCCTCGGTGCTTAAAATTGTGGGGGGAAGGTTGCAAGGGGTCACACACAGACCTGGCAAAAAGAACAATTATAAAAAACAGGGTGGGTCATTGAGGGGAGCTCTTTGCTGTCTTACCAAAGTTGCTGCTCCCAGATTATGACAGACACCCACCCACCCACCCACACTTTTTTCAGGCCACTTTAAGCACGAGTATCCCTCTGAACTAGGCCTCCTCAGACAGGACGCCTCTTATTTTAAACCCAAATTTACCCCCATCCATGCTGATCTCACAATATCTCGCTTTCATCACTGCAAAACAGTGGCACCAGAAATGCAGCTGTAGCTGAGGCAACATTATGGTTAGACCTGGTCCAAAATTAAAATAAAGAAAAACATTTCAAAGTTGTTTTTGTTTTGCCAGGATCAAAATGGATCCCATTTTTGTTTGTTTGTTTGTTT